ATCGATTCGATGATTTGGAATGAGGTTTCTATGAGGTTTCGAGAAAAGCTTTAGAGAAAGTAGACAACTTTGTGTGATATATGCAATACACACATACATTTTGAAAATAAATCAATAATTTAAGAAGGAGATTTCCATTAAGCACTTCCTGCTGTAAAAATGCTAATTCAAGTATGGTTATACCAGAAACTGTTAAGACATCATTTCTTTGAAGTTCTTTTTATATTTTGAAATTAAATACAAACATTCGTTCGGGTGATGAAAATTTTTTTAAATTGCTTTTAGAAATGAAAGAGGGAAAATAAATGTCACCAATGATTCCTAAAAAATGGAAAGTCAATGATGTATGTTTAAATATTTACTCAAAATTGCCAATATTCATTAAGTAATGTTATTCTGACTTCTCAGAATAAACTCACTATTTTTCTAAACAACAGAATTTTAAATCTAATAAAAGGAAATATGACAACTTATCATAGCATGGATCATGTCACGTACAAAGATGTCGATAAATCGGATGATAACATTTCTTTAAACTTCCTTTTTCACATATTAACTCTTAAGAGAAAAGTTTCGATGAAGTTGGTATGTACTTAAATAAGCCTGTATTTCCGTATAATACAACTATACATATCGTTATCAAGGTATAAAACTAAAGAAGGGATAATTATTTAAATTGAACTTAAAAACAATTCGGAATCAGATAATGTTGTTTGGGAAGAAATTTTCAATTAAGAGGAAGTACGAATTATGGAAAAAAAAAAATTAACGAATTTGAAGTTATCACACAAATTAAAACAACACTATTTAGTTGTAGCATATGACATGATATGTTTATATTGTATTATGCTAAAATTTTGTTATAAATGAATATACGCAAAACAAATTTTATATTAACATGTGAATAATAAAAGCATATTGGAAAAAATAACAAAAAATAAAAGAAAAACGTCATGAACAATACAAAAAAAAATTTTTACAACACATTTACAAATACACTTATGAGTTAATGTGACNATGATATGTTTATATTGTATTATGCTAAAATTTTGTTATAAATCATTAAGGTTTTAATTTTAATTCAGGATAACTATTTATAACAATTGTCTAAATAAGATCCTTCTTTCGATGTTCTTTAGCAAAATTGGTTTATTTTTGTGATTACTCCGTATACCTATTGAATAACAATAATTTAAAAGAATCAAATTTCAAGACTTTCTACTAAGAATCTTATCTTATAAAGATTGAAGTTATGTATTAAATAATAACTTTCACGTATTACAAAGTTGTTTTTTAATTTGTTTACATAAAAAGTAGTAGGTTTACGGCAGACGGGGTTAAAAAAAAAAAAATTGTAAGCAAATGACTACCATAGTTTCTATTATTTTTTACTACTTGAGTTACAATATATATTTGTGATCAAATCATGTCACACGATTACACGTAGTCAATTCAAAACTCAATGTAAGAAAGAACTAGTATAAACAAAAAAAAGGTCAACTCGCCTCAGATTTTATACTTATCAATATTTTTATAAAGAAGTAACTGTATTTGACATTTTTTATACTTGTTGTTACTAAGTATAAACTCTATTTATTTGCCTCCTGGGTGGTGTGGAGGAAATAGATAATTATATAACGCTAAGAGCTTGATAATTATATAACCGTAAGTTGTAGGAGCTGCCGTTTACGATTGCTGGCTACAGCTAGTCTCAGCTAATGTACAGTTTGTGTATACAATAGCTTATTGTTGTACTATAGACTGAGCAGCTACAAATCTATAGAATTATCCTTCATACTGCAAGAGTTGCTGGACAGGTTACGTAGAGTGGGGGCCGTGGAGGGGTGGTAGAGGGGTGGTGGTGGGGCCCTTAAAAATGTGCGGGGGTAGCGGAAGGGGATAAGGGAGATTTTTAACAGGTCAAAATAACGGTGAAATTAACAGAATTTTCCCTTATTTTGTGGGTAGCTGTGGAGGGGTCATGGGGGGCTTTAAAAATTGTACGGGGTTCAGGGGGGCTTAGTGGGTTATTGGCTAATATTTTGTTGGGTTAAAATATCATTGACAGTAATCAATTTCTCCCTAATTTTGCGTGCGGGTGGTAGAGCGATTGGGGGGGGGGGCAGTCTCGAAAGCCCTGCTCTTACAACTATATAATATAGAAAGATGTGTGTGGGTGTATAGATTTATGGATTAATGTATGAAGATATCCATTGGTGGTACCTTGTGCTTAAAAGCGTATTTTTTGTCCTTATCCACTGATGAAAAATTATGATTTCTTTTATAGTTTTAGTACAGGAAGAACGATGTGAGCAAACCACCTTGTGCATTTAGGTTCATGTAGAGTTATGGCTATCGATATAAGATAGTAGATGGTGAGATAAAAGAAGTGCTAAGCCGACTACTAGCAATTTTAAGCATGCAAGATCCAATTTTTTTTTAGTTTTATGCATACAAATTCTATCTTATAAGCAAAACTGCTTGCGGTTGAAAAATTATTGATACCATTTTATCTTTTTCTTTAATGAGAGTAACTTGTAAATATATCACGTTGTATGCATTTTACCATACATTATTCGCTATGCGTCTATGTCAGGTGACGCTGCCGAGTGAGAAAAATCGTCCCTCGCTAAGATTGCCATAATGCACAGAGCCTTATAGGAAAATTTTTTAATAAATTAAAAAAAAGATTATTAATGGTGAATAGACAAAACAAATTGTTGATTCGAGTGTATATTATATTTTAGAGTACAATAATAATTTTGTTTAGTGTTGTCATGTGTAGTACAAGATTAGAAAAAATAAAAATTTGGATTGCGACTGTAATAACGTGCATATATAAGTGTTAAGAAATGTTTGTAAGGAAATGTTACATAAATGTGTAAAAGTTAATCTAACCTGTCATTAGTGTTTACGTTCATTGAACATAGTGTTGTGACAAATGAATAAGTGTAAGCCGTACTTGTATTTCTCAAGCTGCACACAAGTGCAAACATGTGTATATACTAATATATGTTGTGTTATTACAGTCGCAACCTAAATTTTTCTTTTTTCTAATCTTGTAGTACACATGAGAACACCAAACAAAATTTATGACTGTACTCTAACATAATATACACTGAAAGTACTGATCCATTTGGTCGATGCACTTTTGATCGTTTTTTTAATTTAGTAAAAAATTTTTCTATAAAGCACCGTATATTTTGGCAATCTCAGCGAGGGACAATTTCTCTCACCCGACAGCGCTACCTGACATAGAAGCATAGCGAATAGAATCGTCCATAAATACTCATAAGTTTTTATTGATAACACAGCTCCACAAAAAAAATCGAAAGTCTTAGTGCAGAGACCTGACATACCCTCGTATATGTAATCGACCACGCTGAATTCGAATCCAAGGTCAATTTTACTCTATCACGTCAGGATTTTTCATAACCTCAAAATTTAAGCCCAAAAACCCCATAACACATAAACCATTTAATGCCCGAGTATCTTAACCAAAGTAACGCTATAACCTTATGATTCGATCACCCCTAAACTCCATTAACCTCAAAACCCTAAAACCCAATGACGCCATAATGTCTAAACCAGATGAGTAACAGAGGTTTGAGTCTCTAGTGCTAAGATGTCTAGGTCAATGTTGTGTTTCTCCACGTATAGCGAATCTCCTGATTCGTCAGGCCCCTTTACTACATAATAGCTTAAAACATTAACTGTATGATTACATTCCTGTACTTAGTGTCGTACGCGCTTATTACTCTTTGGGATTTGAGGTTGTTTAACTATAGTGTTATGAGTGAATTGGATCCTACAGTTATTGTTTTATGCAATTATGTAGTTAAATGGCCTGACGAGTTGGGAGATTCGCTATACGTTAAGAAACACAACAATGACTTAGACATCTCAGCACTGAAGACTCAAAACTCTGTTACTGATCGGGCTTAGAGGTTACGTTTTAGAGTTAATGGGTTAGTTGGTTATGAGTGAATAGGGTCATACAGTTATTGTTAAAAATAATTATGTTGTTAAGGGGCCTGGCGAATCAGGAGATTCGCTATACGTAGAGAAACACAACATTGACCTAGACATCTCAGCACTAGAGACTCAAACCTCTGTTATTCATCTGGTTTAGAGGTTATGGGGTCATTGGGTTTTAGGGTTTTGGGGTTTATGGAGTTTAGGGATGATCGAATCATAAGGTTATAGCGTTACTTGGGTTAAGATACTCGGGCATTAAATGGTTTATGTGTTATGGGGTTTTTGGGCTTAAATTTTGAGGTTATGAAAAATCCTGACGTGATAGAGTAAAATTGACCTTGGATTCGAATTCAGCGTGGTTGATTACATATAGGAGGGTATGTCAGGTCTCTGCACTAAGACTTTCGATTTTCTTTGTGGAGCTGTGATAATTCATTCTACAGTCTAATTTTTGAAAGCCTTATTTTCATGGCTCATTTTATCGTCTGTCATAACTTTTCTCCAGAAATCAAATTTTTTCCAAAAAATAATTACCGTTTCAAAAAACAGTTGCGACTGTGCGAAAACGGTTAAATAGAAATTATGAAGATTCTCTTTTATATTAACAATATTTAAATTACTAATAAATTTAGAAAATCTACATTTTAATAATCTTACACAATTTGTAAGTAAACTTATAATCGAAGGGTCAAACACTTTTTTTGTTGGTTTTTAAATAAACAGATTTTTGTGCGTAAACCCTTTTTTAGTAATTCTAACAAGAAAACTACTTTTCTATGTCGTTATGAGATCTCCATAAATTATGCACACAAGGAGACCTGTTTGAAACAATATAATTTAAATACAATCTACTCAAGGTCCTTAAAACTAATAACCCTTTATTCCCTATAGTTTCCTCTATCGGTTGCCCCTCCTAAAAGTTTTCAAAAATTTTTGACAATATTATAAAAAAACCTTAAATAAACCTAATTAATATATAAAAAACAGTATTNAAGTGAGGGGTAAAATGTAATTATAAGTTTATGACTATTGTTTATAGATATGTTCCCGAGGGAAATATGACGTCATGTGGTACGGATTACGTTTCCGACGACTGGTTCGGAAAATCTTACATACTCGTGTATTCTATATTTGTATACTATACGCCGCTATTTTCAATAATTTTCTGCTATTATCACATAGTTTCGGTGCGTTAAAATTTTTTAAACATAAAAACTACATGTATTGTAATTTAAATAATCACGTACCTTTTTTTTCTTTCACCAGGCAGTTGCAGCCCATGAAAAAGGAATGCGGGAACAGGCAAAGAAGATGGGCGTTGCTTCGCTACGTTCTGGGGAACAAAGCGGTGGTGTAAGCGCAGAAGCAAAATTGGCAAAGGTACATAAATTATATTTCGTACATAAGTACATCATTCAGTTGAGCCAATACGTGGACAACAATGTATTAAACCTTTCGTCAACAGGTTGCTCTCACTACTATATCTTTATGGTTTATGGCATGGACGCCGTACTTGGTTACCAATTACATGGGAATATTTGCAAAACGATTCGTAACACCTCTGGCTACCATATGGGCTTCGCTTTTTGCCAAGACCAACGCCTGTTACAATCCAGTCGTTTATGCATGCAGGTACACACAAGTAGTTTTAAATAATTTTTTCGGACTCTTGAGACAAAAACAATTTACTTTTTCAGCCATCCAAAGTACAGAATAGGATTGAAAGCACGATGTCCTTGTTTGCACTTGGGAGAGGATGAAGAGAAACCGGCTGAGAAAAAAGCTGCCTCAGCCCCAGCTGCAGATGCCACTTCTAATGCTAGCAAAGCGTAATCATCCTGGTCAACTGATAGATTTAGCTTATACATGAGCAAAAAATATTTTTTTAATAAGTAAGTTATACAATTTTGACATTCTAGATAATTTTATCATGATCAGCCTAGATGTTTCCTCACTTTTTACCAATACCCTTATTGAACTTGTAATAAATGGTATCGAAAGAAAATACCATAATATCATTAAGTCTTACAGTATTCCACTCCAGGACCTCTTTAAAGCTGTTGACGTTCTTTTGACAGACAATTATTTTCAGTTTGACAATATCTTTTATCAACAGATTCATGGTACAGTGATGGGTAGCCCCGTTTCACCAACTTTTGCAGACATAGTCATGATGGACCTTGAGGAGGACTACCTGAGTAAACTTTCTTTCACCCCAATATACCATGGTAGATATGTTGATGACATACTTACCACAATTCCTCTAGATAAAGTGAATGAAATAGGTTACATTTTTTATTCTTACCATGACAGATTGAAATTCACTTATGAAGTAAAGCAAAATAACAGCATAAATTTTCAAGAAGATAACATCTTTAAAAATAACAATAACCTTATTACTGATTGGTATAATAAATCAACTTACTCAGGCAGAGTTCTTTATTTTCATTCAAACCACCCCTTGAACCAAAAAATAGCTATGGTTTACTCATTGGTGGATAAAGCCATCTTATGTTCTGACAAATCGTTTTAAGAAAAAATATTACTTTAATTAAAAAACATTTTTAGTAATAATGGATATTCTAAAAAGTTCACACATGATTATATTAAAAGACGAATCAACTTGATCAATAAAAAAGACGCGTCCCAAATCAACCTCCCATTGCCACCCGGTTGTAACAATAAAAAATTTATTTCGATTCCATGTATTAATACTGTCTTTGAAAATATTTCAAAACAATTACTTAAATTAAATGTATTAGCTGTTCCTAGAATTACCAATTCATTAAAAAAAATTATAAAAAGAGGCAAAGATCCTACAAAGAGGGTTGATCAAACTAATGTCGTGTACAAGATTAATTGTCTTGATTGCGATGCCTCTTATGTTGGTAAAACTAAACGCAAAATCTCCATAAGAGTTGATAAACAAAAAATACAAAAAGATGGAAAAAAATTTTGTCATTCACAAACATATTTTGCAATTCGATCACCATTTTGATTTTGAACCGATAATATTTTAGATAAAAAAAGTAATTAAAACAAAAGAAGAATTTCCAAAATGGTACATATTAATTGACAGAAAAGGTCCATTAATAAAAAAGTAGACACAAAAGATTTACATAATGTATACAGTCCTCTCTTATATAAGCTTAAAACGTTGTTATTATTATTAATGAAGCAATAATCCTCTACAATTTGTGTATGATGAATCAATGATCCATCACTAAAACATAAGCATATTTATATTCACGGGTCTCACAGCACTAAGTACACTACTGCTTTATAAGGATATACTCTACACACATTTACTGTAGTACTTAACTTTTATTATTCTATGTCATTCGAATCTAGTCATAGTTAGTCTTTAAGAATTACTGTGATATTTTATTATACTTTTACGATTTTATAACGATAACTGTACCATCAGCGTACATGTTGTTTTTACTGTTTATGCGACGAGAACAAGGTACTGCGTTTCACTACTTGATTCAGAAATTGATATACGTTATTGCTAACACAATATATATTATGGTTGTATTGTTTACATACTAGACTTGACACCCTAAAGTGTTTTATGAATGTCGACGAACACTATGTGCAATTTCTGCAGTAATTTTTACCAACAAGGTAATGTTTATACTGACTGTTTCATAATAGGGGCAATTTTGCAAATTTTGTTTTGTATGTATTTTATATTCAATAAATTATTTCAGACGCCTGATGAAGGTGGCAAATAGCCACCGAAACGTTGTGTATAGTTAATTATCAAAAACTATTGACTTGTATTATTGACTACCATTACAAAATTGAATAACTATTTATTTGTTTACATACAATTGATAGAATTTTTTAATATTAACAGGCAGCAGCTTTGGTAGGAGTTGAAATACCTCGATTTTGCTATCACGAAAGACTTGCAGTCGCTGGAAATTGTAGAATGTGTCTTGTGGAAATTGAGAAACAAGTGAAGGTAAGTCATATTATTTTGAAAAATTTCTACTTTATTAATAGGACTTATGACCAAAATGTATTATACAGCCCGTTGCTGCTTGTGCAATGCCCGTAATGAAAGGTTGGAGAGTAAAGACGAATTCTGATTTAACACGTAAGGCTCGAGAGGGAGTTATGGAATTTTTATTAGTTAATCATCCGTTAGATTGCCCTATCTGTGACCAAGGAGGTGAATGTGACTTGCAAGATCAAAGTATGACATATGGTAATGACAGAAGTCGATTCACAGATATTCATCATAGCGGTAAAAGAGCAGTTGAAGACAAAGATATTGGCCCACTTATTAAAACTGTAATGACACGTTGCATACATTGCACACGGTGTATACGTTTTGCATCTGAAATCGCTGGCATTGATGACTTAGGGACAACTGGACGAGGTAACGATATGCAGGTACTATTTTCAAAAATGATTTCTTTTATGTTACTAGAAAAATACATAGATTAGTAATTTGTAAGTACAATTATTTTTTGATAAGTATCGTTTTTCCAAAAAATTTTTAACTTTCAATTGATGTCATACTGAAAACAGTTTATTCATTCAAACTAATGTATTTATTGGTAAAATATAGAGTGTAGAAACCAGTTTATTTTGTTAATATTAATTATTTTTTATTCTCAACGTAGGGCAAGAGTGAATTCGGCTTTTTCATGTTCTTAAAAATGAATTTATTAATACAAACATTAAACACTAATCAATCTTATAAGTGCGGTTCTAGTGGATGACCTTTTTGTCCTTTTTGGTAAAACAATCATTCCGTTACTGCAGAGCCTTCGCGGCCAGCCAAGGGTGAATAGGTGATGTCAATATGACCCATGGCTTAACAAAATGACGAATATTAAGGCTAGTCACCGCTCAGAACAACTATTGACTATATTCAATAAGTACAATATGTATTTAAACTCAACTAAACGCTAGTATACGGCAAATTACAGAGTTATAAGCAAATTGAACAAAAAAATTTTGCTTTTCTATGTGAAATCGAATATATTGTGGTCCAGCATGATCCAACATACTTGAAATTAAACATTCATTCTCTTTAATTGATAAATTATATTATCAGAACATGCTATTGTTACCACAGGTGTAAAGTTATAAACCAATTAAATAAGCAAAATATCGATTTTCTCTGAATAATCGACTGCAACTCGGCTCAGCATGATCCCAGGTGCTCCAAATTAATCATTAATACTTTTTCAATGGGTAATTTTTAGCACATGTTTTTACTAACACGTGTAAAATGTTATTAAAAAGGTTACAGAAAAATTACGTAAGAAAAGTGTTAATTGTTTGTAAAAAATTGACTATGACTTGACCTAGTATGATCCCGTAGACTTGAAATAAAATATAAATACTCACTTAACCATAACTTATTAAAACATAATATAGCTAACCCAGGTGAAAGGTTATTAAAAAAGTTATAAACAAATAAAATACGCAAAATATCGATTTTCTCTGACAAATTGACTACAACTCAGTTTAGCATGCTCTCAGATATTTAAAGATAAACATACATACTTTTTTATTTATAAGACATTAGCATACGTTATAGCAAGGATAGCTAAGAGTTGTTAAAAAAGTTATAAACAAATAAAATAGATAAAATATCAATTTACTTTAAAAAATCGACCACAACTTGGCCTAGCATGATCCCAAACATCTAAAATAAACATACTTACTCGTTAATTAAATACTCATTGGCACACGCTATAGCTAACATGATTGAAAAATTAGTAAAAAAAGTTATAAACAAATTAAATGGGTGAATTATCAATTTTCTGTCAGAAATCGACGCCTATAACTTTCTTATGACTTTTTTAAAACCTTTTTACCTGTGTTGTCTGTAATATGTGTCAATAAATAAGCATTATAAGCGTATAAATGTTTAATTTAAAGGGTCTGGAATCATCTTAGGCCAAGTTATAGTCACCTTTTCCCAGAAATATCGAATTTGTCTGTTTAAATTGTTACAAATTTTCTTACTATCTGTTCACATAAGATGATAATAACATAAGTAAAAGTATCAATGCTTAATTTTAAGCGTCCGAGATCATGCCTGGCCGAGTTTTAGTTGACTTTTTATAGAAAATCAATACTTTGCGAGTTAATTGGTGTATAACTTTTGTAATAACTTTTCACCCATGTTAGCTGTAACATGTGCCAATGAGTTATTAATGAAACGTATGTGTTTAAATTTAAGTGTCTAAGATCATGCTGGATCGAGTTGCAGTTGATTTTTTTTTAGAAAATCAATATTTTGCTTATTTATTTTTTTATATCTTTTAAAATGATTTTTTACTTACTGATCAATAAAAGAGTATCGACGTTTGATTTCAAGTGTTTGGGATCATGCTCGGCCAGCTATAGTCAATTTTTTGTAGAAAATTAAAATTTGGCCTATTTAATTCGTGTATAACTTTTAAATATCTATTATCTTGTGGTTGCTTTCACATGTGACAATAACAAATTAGTGATGAAGTGAGAATGCTTAGTTTGAAGAGTCTAAGATTATGTTGGGCCAAGTTGTAGTTGATTTTTCTCAGCAAATCGATATTTTGCCTATTTAGTTTGTTTATGACTTTCTCAATAACTTTTATGCATGTTTGCTGTAATATGAGCAATTAATAAACTACTGTAAGAGTTATTTTGCTTAATTTTAAGTATTTCTGATCATGCTGGACTGAGTGACAGTCGATTTTATGAAGAAACTCGACATTTTTTCTGTTTAATTTGATTGTAACTTTTTAACAATTTTTTACCCGTGTTGACAATAATATGTACCTATTTTAAACTATTTAGAAACTATTTTCCTAGGAAACTAAAACTTTCTTTTTTTTGTTTAGTTTCTTTATTACTTTGTTTTTGCCGTATACCGACCTTTAATTGAGTTCAAATACTCATAGTACATCATTAGTAGTAGTTCTGACATGTGGCTGGTCTTAATATTCGTTATTTTGTTGAGCCATGAGGCCTCTTGACACTAAATATTCGTCCCTCGCTGGCCGCTAACTCTAGCTGTCAGTTTTAGGTTCATGCTTTACACCTAGTCCATCTTTTTGTAAGTTCTGCAGTACAACGTAGTTTAGAAACTGTCTTGTCAGTAAGTCAGAAATCTCGCACAGCATTCAGTGGTGCGAGAATTAAGGATGTTAACCTACTAGTAGTACTACTTGCTAGACAAAAAACATAGTCTGCATCAATGAAAATATTATTCGGAATATTGTAAAATATATCATCGCTCCAAAGCTCACAAAAATGTAGTCGAGATAAATTAACTAATTTTTACAATTAAATTACATTACCAATCTACAATTTTTGTAAAATTTTCTTGTAAAAAAGTGAAAATGCAGATAAGTTTAAAGTGTTTAACTAATATTTGTAATTGAATTTTTAAAGCCTATGTTCAGTTGCAACAAATTGTATTTTTTGTCATAAGCCGTCAATCTTGCAAAAGTGTAAGATTAACCTCTCAGAAAAAGTATTTTAGTTTGTCTTTAGTGCAGCATACTTTTTGTATTTTAATTGTAACATTAATTGTAGTTGCACTGATACGATTACAATTTTTAGAACGAAAATTTTTATTATTTTTCTAACTTTTTTTTTTTTTTTTTAATAAATCAAATTTAAAATTTCTTAAATTTTTTTTACAGGTAAAATATAGAGTGTAGAAACCAGTTTATTTTGTTAATATTAATTATTTTTTATTCTCAACGTAGGGCAAGAGTGAATTCGGCTTTTTCATGTTCTTAAAAATGAATTTATTAATACAAACATTAAACACTAATCAATCTTATAAGTGCGGTTCTAGTGGATGACCTTTTTGTCCTTTTTGGTAAAACAATCATTCCGTTACTGCAGAGCCTTCGCGGCCAGCCAAGGGTGAATAGGTGATGTCAATATGACCCATGGCTTAACAAAATGACGAATATTAAGGCTAGTCACCGCTCAGAACAACTATTGACTATATTCAATAAGTACAATATGTATTTAAACTCAACTAAACGCTAGTATACGGCAAATTACAGAGTTATAAGCAAATTGAACAAAAAAATTTTGCTTTTCTATGTGAAATCGAATATATTGTGGTCCAGCATGATCCAACATACTTGAAATTAAACATTCATTCTCTTTAATTGATAAATTATATTATCAGAACATGCTATTGTTACCACAGGTGTAAAGTTATAAACCAATTAAATAAGCAAAATATCGATTTTCTCTGAATAATCGACTGCAACTCGGCTCAGCATGATCCCAGGTGCTCCAAATTAATCATTAATACTTTTTCAATGGGTAATTTTTAGCACATGTTTTTACTAACACGTGTAAAATGTTATTAAAAAGGTTACAGAAAAATTACGTAAGAAAAGTGTTAATTGTTTGTAAAAAATTGACTATGACTTGACCTAGTATGATCCCGTAGACTTGAAATAAAATATAAATACTCACTTAACCATAACTTATTAAAACATAATATAGCTAACCCAGGTGNTTTTTTTTATTTATGTTTTAATTAAGAAACTGTTTTCACACAACATTGTCTATTTTATAATCATTATCACCTTTAGTTCGTATAAATGTACCATTAAAAGTTTTGCATCGTAATGCCGTTACTATTGTTCGTGGAACAAGAAAGGTTTTTTTAAACATAAATCAACAGTATCAAAACTTTGTCCTTGCATTTTACTAACTGTCATGGCGTATACTATAACTTAAGGTGGCTCCTCACTATAAATCCCACAAGAAGAGTAAGCATGCTGCTACTTAGCTTTTCATTGGCTGTGGAGGTTCTTGACTAAAAATGGATAGGTACCTATAGTCCCTTCAAAAAAAGTTTAGTTACATCTACACCGTTGACCTATATCGCACAATACAGTGACCCGAGCAGACGTATGTATACAAATCTGACAACATAACCCTTGTATGTAAATAATAATAAGCTGACGATAAGTACCTAACAAGTACTTAAAGTACAGAATAAAGGTACTTTATTACAGTACAAAGACAACTTGTCTTCAAGAATAATAAACAAAATGGCAGAAACTGGTATTACTAATACCGTTTTACAAGAAGCATTCAGCACAAACGGTAAAGAGGGTCTCCGCATTTTACTCTCTGAAAATGTTAATAATAAGCCATGGGTGACCAAAGACAAAAAAACTTTAGAAAAAATCTACAAGTTATTTATTAGTGACTAGTAAATACAACCGTGTCCTAACTTTATCATAATATAGTCTATTAATTTTATCTATTAGTCAAAAAAGTACATAAGTCAGCCCCGCATTAAATTATTTTCTTAGTTCAGCGTCTCATTTATTTTTATTATAATTACGATTCCCCACAACCCCTATTCATTTTACGTACAACTTTCTGACCAATTCAAACTACGCGGG